TCCAATGATTACCTTCTGGAAGTTTCACGGGATTAAACGGAGAATCGCGTGATTTCTGACAAATGCTTCTTTTTTTATCTTCAATGAGGTTCGATTTTCTCTCAAACTCTCGGATAAAAGCTGCTTATAAATATAACGATACAAAACCAATAATTGATTAGCTTTGATTTATAATATTGTAGAAGCGTGAAAATCAATCTCGATGCTTATTCGATGGCGACAGAAACGGCGTATTTTCGCATACCCATAAAAAATTAACTCGACAAGATACATCGGATTCCTGCTTTCAAGTCGAGTTGAAAATCGCAAGGATTTCGTCTTACGATCGATAGTTAGTACAAACGCAACAGGGCTGAGTTATCGCGCTCACACTCTTGGATCGTAAACTCAGGTCGATATGATTAAAGATACGGCACTACTTAGCAAAGAGCGTATATTCTAAGGAGGCTTTCATTCCGCAAGGGAGTGCCGATAATGAAAGTGTACGTGCACAGTTTGGAGCATGTTTATATATATATATAACGGTAATTATTGCATATATATATGTATAATAAATATGTATCATACAATACAGCACCCTAACCACAAGTACTCGCCCCTGAGTATATATGAGTAATTGTCTGAGGGTCTATTTTTTTTATTTGATAAAATTAACCAAGCTGGACAGTAAAATAGCCGAAGCGTTGGTTTCATGTGCGCTGGGGAAACCGGAGTGAGAGAAAGAAACATATACATGTGTGTGTATCGGCTGGACCAAATGTAACGTATCGCAGCCGCAGAATGTGACACAGCACAGCCTCAAAAAAAAAAGAGAAAAAAATCGGGGGCCGACACTATAGGTCGAAGACCGGACTATGTGCCAGTGTGTATGTGTGCGTGTGTGTTGTAAAAGGGAAAATGATAACAGCGAATCAGCAGTTCATAATTATCGCAACGAAAATCACCCTGCAATCGGCAACGCTGCATGTTTCTCCGCGTACGGGAAAAGGAGAAAAAAAAGGGCCGACAAGAGATCGATTTCCTGTGCCGCAATACATAGAGCCGAGTGTACATTAAGTCGCCAAGTCGAGTGGCATTTCGACGATATAAAAAAAAAAAAGGAAAAAGAAAAATAGACGGGGGAGAGAACAAGAGATCGATTTCCTGTGCTGCACAGCTACCGTCGAGTTGCATTCGGAATCTCGTTATTCGTTATTAAATGCCGCGATTAATGGACTTGTCAATTGTATTCTTTTTCACGGAACCGGAATATAATTTCGTCGAGATGACATATTTCGATGCCGAGCGTGCGCGAAAATATTTTTTCGCATTGGTAGTATCGAAAATTGAACTCGAGATTATACCGTGATTTCGATGCCCCGAGTCGACTTGCGATGCGCAACGTCGCGAGCCAACCACCGTCGATCGTGCGAGGACATTTCGCTCGATATTTGCGGAATATCGAAGGAGATGTTATCAGTTATCGCACTCGCGTACGTGTATGGCGTAATCTCGAAGGACCGAGACCGATACGATTTCGGGGAGTTTAATTTTTCGATGCTGCAGACGCGCGAAAATAATCCCTCGTGGATCCATCTCGCTAGCGACCAGTTTGTCTTTCGCCGTTTAATCTCGCCGATTCTTCGTTTCCCTCCGCAGAAGACGAAGAATCGATTGGATTAAAATAACTGGTCTGTGAAACCGACCGTGATATTCGTGACGACTGAAACGCGATGGTCGATGGTTGATGAGCGCCAGGCTCGATTACCCGTATCTGTCGCATCGAAGATTGAACTCACCGAAGTTATGTCGGTTTTCGATCGTCGACTCTGGAGATCCCGATTTTCGCCGGAAAATCGCACACCTACTTGCAATTCTCGAATGCTGTCGCTGCTGCTCGAACGGAGTGCTGGGAGAACAGTGCTTGCGAGAGAAGCGAAAAACAAGTACAAGTAGTAGTAGTAGAAGAAGAAGAAGAAGAAGAAGAAGAAGAAGAAGAAATAGAGAATAATCGGCGTTACCTGCACGCTGAACTCACCAGGGGCCCCTGCCGGGGAATCGGCCTGTTGGTCCCAACCGGAAGCCAAGTTCGGGAAGTCGCGGTTGGTATCGTGGAGAACGTTCAGCCAATCCCGCGCCACCTCCTTTAGCGTGCGGGGGCTTGGGATTGGCTGCTACTCAGCCTCAAGGCCGCTGCTGATGCTTCACTCCTTCTGCCCTTCTCTCGACAGGCCCCGAGTGTGTTGTGCGCTACATGGCCGCGCGCGGGGCTCAGCGGAGAACAGCAATCGGGGTGGCGACTCCGCGATTCCGCCGCTCTGGAAAAATTGCTGGCGCTTCGATCGGATTGTCGAATGGCGCGACGGCGAAGAAGCGGCGGAATTGCCGGGTCTCTCACAACCCGACGGACGAAGGAAAATGAGTGTTTGTCGATCGGCGCTGCCGAGCCGGCACGATATCCAGTGCATACTCTTGCACCGACATCTGCGAATTTCTGAATACTCGATAACATATGACCGTCATTATTCATCGCTTTATCGCAAATTTATGTTCCTGAAAAATAATATACAATACTGATAAATTTTTCATAAATTGCATACACATATATTCAAGCGACAAGAATAAAATGAATCGAATCTGTCCTCGTACGCGATATTAGCGAATATTCAGAAGTCTAGATAAACAGGACTTGAAGATATTCACTGGATATATGTGCGATAATCAAGGGACATACGCAAGAATGCCCATTGAATATCATTGCATCGTATCGCAGTCTCGTGTAACAGGATAGGAGGAGAAAGGGCTGCCATTCTTGCTGGCGATTTTTTTCCATGACTTCTTACTATCTATCATTCGCGTATCGATCCATGTCGACGACGCCGATACAAGCGCGTTCGTCGAATAGAGATCAGGATAGCAAGCCGATCATCAATCTACGATGCCAGATTGGAGCAGGTTGGAAAAAAAAATCTTACAATTTTGTCGCCAAGTGTGCAATCGGTATATTGATGCATAATGATAGGCCAAATCGTTCTTCGATAAGAGAACTCGCATAATTTTGCAAAAGGCGTCGTTTAACAATGCGTAAAATGGGATCTCAGCATGAATGCGTCGGATGCATCTCAAAGTGCGTAGCGTGAAGCAGCGCGTTGCGTAAGGCACGATGCTCCAACGTGGGACATTTCACGATTGAATTTTAATTTATCGATAAATTGCAAAATGGAAAATAAAAACTCGACTACGACGAAACTTTACTACGCCGCGAAAGATCCAAGCAACGAGCGAGCATCGTGTCACGCAACTACGCCTTCGTTCGATCTCTGTTAATTGATCGGATCAGCTGTTAAATTTAGTTCGCGAAGCAATTATACATGTATGTATCTGACGCGATATACGAGAAGGCCCGGAAATCGCGTGCTTCCTTCCGACTACGAGCTTTTTCATCGAGTTTCGTTAGGAGTCTTGAGCTATTTCGGTCATAATTGAGAGACTCGATGAGAATCGACTTTTACAATCTGTATATACAAATAAGATTAACGTGAGAGATGTTATAATTATAAATGTTTAACTTGACAAAAATATCGACGATTGAATTAATTTCCCACACCTGTTTGCCCGATAACGATGGATGCCTCGCTTAGCCGCAAAGGAAGAACGCAGCCTCGGGTACATCACGTATAAGTGTATGTAACGTACGACAATTGGCCATGTGTGCGCACGATTCACGGACGGATGTCGACGATGGTCGGCCCTCTTGTAAACGAAGAGGCGGGGGAGGGTGGATGGGTGCCTGCTTGCCCGCCAGCCAGCCAGCCAACGAGTCGCTCTCCTGGATATATTCGTCCACGACGATGAAAAGGCAGCGTAATTCCTCTCCCTTCCTTACTTGGGCCGCGTGCGGGGGTGATTTTCGGGGAGGCAAAATTCCAACTTCCAACTGTTGCGCAAATAGCGTGGCGCAAACGCAGTTTCGAAGGCGTGGCGATCGACAAAGGGCCCGGAAACGGCCGATAACGCGCCGTTTCCCATACCCCTTTTTTTATGTCTCTCTTTCTCTTCCTTCCTTTCCTCTCACTCACTTGTTCTCTCTCTATCCCCGGTCTTTTCGTTCTTTTTTTTTTCGCCGCCTCGTTACGCACCACCTACGGAGTAGGAAGCAGCCTGGCCGCGGAATAAACGAGTTAACGTGCCTCGCTCCAGTCGGGAACGCGGGACTCACGATCGTCCGAGGAGGGAGGTGGAAACGAAGGAGGGTAGTGATTGTGGTGGTGGCGATGATGGTGGTGGTGGTGGTAGTGGTGGTGGCGGTGACGGCGACATCCAAGGAAAGCCCTTCTCGACGAGCAAATGGCACGAGCGTCTGGAATCCGAGACACAATCTTTATCACAATTGCTGCTAAGAGGGATGTCGCTCGCTTTGTCGTCTTCGTCGCGTTTACTCCCTTTTTCTCACTCACTCACTCTCTCTCTCTCTTTTCATCTCTCGCAAAACATACACATCTCTCACTCCTCGTTTACGCACCCTATCTCTCTCGCGCTCGTTCTTTCTCTCTCTCTCTCTCTCTCTCGCTTACTATCGAGACTGCTCGACGCATTTTCCCGACGCACCACGCACGATAGAACGGACGCCGCCGTTCCCCTGATCGGACGTCAAAAAGCCGGACGCGCTAACCTAGAAAGCCCCGCTGGAGGCGATCAGCCTCCTCGTTCTCCTCCAGTCTTCTTCATCGTCGTCCTTTGCCGTCGTGGCACGATGCACTGCGCGATCGATCCGTCGCGAGAATTTATTGCCTCTCTCCCTTTCCTCGCTCTCGAGCGACGCGGCGCACACGCACGCACGCACGCACGCACGCACGCACGCACGGCGGAATTATTAACGGCGAATATCGCGGAGCCGACGGTCGTCTAACGCGAAAGGACGACCACAACGGCCAAACGGACTCCTCGGTACCGTGCGCCACTCGACGCGATATCAAGGCGACGACGACGACGACGACGGCAGTGGCGAGTGACGGGTAGCGGCCGACGATAACGACGCGAGCGACCGAGTGGGAAATAAAGACTGACCTTGGCGCGGTGCGGGAGGCCGGTGTTCCAGGATCGTCTCGTCCAAATCCGCGCGACGTCCGTCGGCGGTGAGGTGCCAACGTCGGAATACTGGCCGGGATATAACGCGATTCTCTCTCGGTCCTCGTCTCTCTCTCCTTGCCATGGTAAGCGGGCGCGACGACGGAGCGGCGTTGATGCAGGTGTTCCTTTTTTTTTTCCTTTTCGTCTGCTCTCTCCCGACTCGCCGTGACGTACGAGCTTATGGTCGCGATCGATACGTTTCACGCGGAATACGATGCTAGGGATCCCGAACCGCTCGCGATTCGCGAATGTCGGGGAAAACGTCGCGAGGGAGGCCGGGACGGGACGGGTGACGGCGTAGTCGAGCGTTTCTAACCTCAAAATTCACCTTTCAGGACGTCTCCGCGTTCTCCGAGGACAGCTTCGACGTGAAGGAATGGATCAATCGGACCTTCAAGTCCGCTGAGGCGCAGGAGAACAAGGACGTGAGTCGCGCGGGCCGCCATCCCCCGCGGGTCCCCGTCTTCGCGACGCGCTTTCTCGGATTCAAGTCGCGCCTGTCATTGCGACGCCCGTCGGCCGCCAAACTGACGGCTTCCACCGCGCGCGGCGGCGGTCAATGACACTGTGGCCCGGCTTCCACAATACAATCCCTTTTTACATTGGTTTTTCAGCTAAAAGCAACCAGAGAATAATATTTTGCAAGCTCGCGCGGTCTCGTGCTCAAAATTACGCCCAGACATTATCGTCGGACAATAAGAGTTCTGTCAATCTCGCGTCATACATATGCATTTTACATACGTTTTTTATTCATACATATTTTAAGTAAATAAATTATTGTGCAAATATTGTGATTTTCCTTTGCACACGTTTGGATGGTAATTTATTGCTGTATAAATTTCAATGTCATATATATTATAAATATAATTCATAGTAATTTATATTAATAAAGTAAAATGGCCGTTACAACTGTTCACACCATTGATATAATAGTTAAAAATTCATCAATCTTACTTTGTATTTTAATTCTGTTATGTATACGAGATACATGTCCATTGAAACTTTTCACTATGATTGATCTTATAGGCTTTTGTCTCATCATTGGTGATGAAGTTGCAATTGTACGTACAACAAGTTAATGGTGCCTTAGAAGAGACTAGTCAATCAGTTCTGTCCAGCTTACCGAGAATTTTAAGAGACACTCAACTCCTGCAGCAAGAAACATTAGCATTACGAGAGAAAATGGTTGCTGTCAAACAAGAGATTGCCAAGGTATATCAAATTTATTTTAGACTATTTGCATTTTATATATTATAATAAATACATGACCAAAAAAATAGGTTGAGAAAGATACAGCCTCTTCCATGGCAATGCTGGAGAAGATTGATAGGATAAAAACAGAGTTACAAACTGCTAAACAAGGATTACACGAGGCTGACAATTGGACTGTATTAGCAAACGATATGGAAGAGGTATATGAAAATTTCACAAATCGTTTCTTCATAGCGCTATGATACATATCAAATTTAATTATGTAATTTTCTATCTGCTGAAATAGGTCTTTGAATCTGGTGATATTGAAGCTATATCAAACAAATTGTTCAGCATGCAAAAATCTTTAGTTATGCTCGCGAATGTAGTCGATTATGAAGATAAAAAGCTGCAATTGGAAGGCTTGAAAAATCGTCTCGAGGCGATAGCCAGTCCACGATTAGTCCAAGCCTTTACCGCTGCCAATTTAGGTAAGGCTTTTAAAAATCTAGATTTTAAACTATTTACAAGATAAATCTGATCAATGTCATATTATGTTTAGAGCAATCCAAAACTTACGTGGACATTTTTAGCAAGATGGAACGTCTGCCTCAGCTCCTTAAATATTATCACAATTGCTTAAAAGTCTCTTTAGGGCAAGAATGGAGACGTACTATCGAGTTAGCACAAGATGAGAATGTTACCTATTGGCTGCATACGTACTATGATAAGTTGTTATCTTCTTGGCATGAACAGGTACATATACAAAATCTTTTTGTCATTGAAATATTATGATTGCTACTTTGCAAATGTTTTTTATATCATGTATTTGCAAGGTGAAATGGTGCCACCAAGTATTTCCCAATACTTCGATAGATATTCTCATCGAGGTTTATGCTGATCTTTTGAAGAGTCTCGATCCCGGTATTCCAGAATGTATAGAGGCAGTTTTGAAACAACATTCTAACGCGGTGCAGTTGCCCTTATTACTTGAATTAAAACAAATGACGAGACATTTTGCTGTAAATCTGAGTGGCGCTATCGAAACATCGTTTCGCGGGAAATTGCAGAATGAAAAATTACTGTCGCTAGCGCAAGCTATATATGCGCCGTATATCCCTTACGTCGCAAAGTACAAAACGCTTGAAACTGCACAGCTAGAACAACAGCTCCAATTCTTGGATCGTTCGCATGACGATTTAAGTGATATCATTAATTCCCTTTCTCTTAGTATTTCACGGATTATAGGATATGCCAATGAAGCCAATAAACGCTGTAAGCTCTTTACAGAAGGTTGTGGATATCCGGGTTTACTGCAATCATTAAACGTATGTGCATACTAAAGATTTCGGTGCATATGTATGCAATTATAGTAAATCATTTTTTACGTTGAAGAGATTTCGTTATCGCTCTCTTTTCTTGTAGATTTATTTTAATAAATATCTCGAGAAATATCAACAAGGGCTGAGACAACTCGAACGAAAGAAGGTGAAACATGAAGACTGGAGCTTATTCCAAATGTGTCTTACTTTGATGCAAACTATAGGTGATTATCATCAATCAATGCTTCATGTGACATTGTAAGACAGTCATTTCAATCTCGTTACAGGCGATCTCTTGCAACAAGTACAACAATTCGAGAAGTCGCTCGTGATTGACATTACAGAAGCTAATAACAAATTGCAGAGTACAAACGATAGTGTTTTCTGTCAATATAAAAAATTACTTTTAACTTCAGCAGGATGCGCCGATTTAGAAAATCTCGTTACATCTTTCCAAAGAGGTGTGTAAATGTCACATAACGCGATATGGTATTATGAGATGAAACACACACAAGTACAAATAATTAAATTTTGTTTTGCAGAAGACAAGACAATTCTCGATTCAATTATAAAATCTATCCAGAAACTCTGCTCTGATTTACATCACACGACGTACGAAGTTATCTTTGCTCCAATATTCTCTCAACTGTTATTAGTACAAAAAGCTCCAGCCTGGTCGTTGGATGCCAACAAAATGTCTAATCTAAGTTCAGATCTGCCAGATTACAGTTTCGCACCTCAAGAATACATCACGCAGGTCGGACAATATTTAATGACGTTACCGCAGCATTTGGAACCGTTTTTGTTGAGAGACAATCCGAGTCTAACGCAAGCGTTGAAGGCAGCCGACCCGCAATATGCTCAAGGATTGACCGAATCTGGTTTTACCGGTATACTCTTGGACATCGTTGCTCGGGGAACATGCCAAATGTTCCAGGATCAGACCTTGGGTATTTGTCAATTGAACTCTGTTGCTTGCAAACAGCTCGCAACTGATATCGGTAAGTTTTTCGTTCTACTTTTAATTTTACAATTTTCAACAAAATAATAAAGAAGAATAAACGGTTAAATTATACATGTTATTAGATTATCTCGGCAACGTATTGGAGGAGCTCGGTTTGTGCTTATCGGAAAATCTTCAACACATGTCCTTATTGTTAAGATTATCTCCGGAGGATTATCAGAATGGCAGCTCTGGATGCAATGCTCGTGTCGTGGCTGCAGTCAGACAAATGCGTAACATTACTTCTTCCGGTTGATATAGTTTCTCATCTCTAATGAGATATAACATCGCAATGTCAGAATCCGTTCTCAATGTATTTCCGGCAAAAATATTTCTTATACAGCTATGATGGAATTATTTGCAGTTATATTATGATGTAAAAAGATAATATGTATAGTATTTTTTAATATACGCAAATATAAGCTTTCCTATCTCTTGTCTCTTCATTTGATATACTTTTATACTTAAGATTGGAAAAAGAAAAACTTATCATTTTTTAAAACATATTAGGTAAAAATAAATTCTTAAATAATGCATATAAATAACATATAAGTATTTTTTAATTAGGAGTGCGAGTATTCACCAAATATCGTACTTTAATGTCATTTATTTTCTATGCTACGTGTCTGAATTGAATAACCGTTAATCGATCTCACTCAGCATTTTCGATAATTTTTCGGGAAACTCTAAAAACGCGCGGAGAGTAACTTTGTTTTGAACATATCCTCAATTTTGTTTTTTTTTCATACTATCGAGATATATATACATAACTGTAAAACAAATTACAAAGATCGCAGCACCACAATAGAGCTCAGGACACACAATTTATGCGCCGGAGGCGTAAATACTTATAAAGAACAAGAGATATATGTGTATATATCTATAAGATCTAGGAAACTGACCGTTTTTTTTAATACCGATAAAGATTCATAATTGAGCATTTTCTCTCACACTCACTTTCTTATCACATATGCTCGCATATATAAAGTTCGAGATGAATACGTATTAACGTTTTCCAATGAGTCGTGTTCAAAGATGCAGACAAAATGCAGCAAATGCGTATAATGTATTTCAATTTCAAGCAAATATCTGAATTTCATAAAAATATCTATTCTGTATATAGATTTGTATTATATAATGATATATTATTCTACATTCTTTTTCGTAGATTGCATTTACATGATTTATTTATACTCCATGAAACGAGTTATGAGCATTTGCTACATTTTTCTTTCTCGATTGATTGTTTGCGAATCTCGCGTACAACATATATATATATACGCAAAATCAACAACCGTCAATCGAGTAACAAATCAAATATTTTGCTCTTATCGAGCTTTTAACTAATAAATTAACGCTGCGCCTCTTACGTTTTCTTTCTTTTTCCTAATTTTTACATTAATTACATAATATGTTAATTTCTCCTAAGATATGCAATGAACATTAAATTACAATGCAATAAACTATATATATATGAATTTGTTAATACATACAGTTAATTTAAAATAGTCATCAATAGCACTTGTGCGTAAGTCTCATGAGCGAACGAAAATCGTTCGCTGTAAAAGAATATCGATACGAAAAACGCAATTATAATCCAAAAAGGATACTAGAATAAATACTTAAATAAGCTGTAAATTGCACACACAAATTTAGATATATCTTAAACTATGAACGCATAAAAGTGAAATTAAGAATATAACCAGCGTCATAAAATACTCGTTATCAAAGTGTACGTATCCTATCCTTGAATCATCGAAATGTGCAAAAATTGAAAACGATTTCACGAAATGTTAACAATATTCTTACAATTTGTCACAATTTAATAGACAAATGTTGGTCCTTAAGCAGGATCGCATAATTATCTAGAGTTTTTAAGAAACTCGTGCGATTTCTCGAACTTCAGATTCCGTAAAGGATAGAGTAGCTATTCAATTATACTCATACGATATACTTTGTATACGCAATCATAATTAGACACAGTCCATCAAACATTATTATTTGATAACGAAAAGGAGAATACGAGGGGAGGGGGAGGGAGAAGGGAGGAGTAATCGCGTGGCACTATTTCAGTATGGCCTCAGTTCCTACTCAGATTTTTCTATTGACTAGACCCTAGAAGTTTGTTCGAGTTACAATAGCGTTTGCAATATCAAAGTCATTCTACATAGTTTCGCAGGATGTAGAGTTTCTTTTATTGTACGTGACGCCGAAGAATCAACATTTCATTGATTCTCCGTTTGGGTAACGAGAACTTTTCTATGTCATTCGGCTACACCGCAGGTATGGCAAAAATTTCGTTACGTATAATCAAAGCTTATTATTAAAGCAGATATACTGCGTGCAATATGTATCAAGTCCCCCTTACTATAACAGCACTACCAAACGTTAGTATATAAAAGCTAGACTCTCCAGAGAGAGATACATATGGGAAATTATCCAGGATATTAATGTGTACAACATTTCGGATGACTGTGAGCAACGGTGTAACATATGATCAATACAAATATTATTTATATATGTATGTTTCCTGGGAAAATATGATAAGATAGAATTTCTGTTTGTGTCTTGCATATATCTAGCGAGCTCCTTGCAAATAACTTTGAGAAAAGAATGAGTTTCTCTTCGAATAATAAATATTAATGCGCGCGATCGATAAAATATAAATCAATGATTAAAAAGTTAAAAAGTATTAAAAATTAAAAAGTATCGGTGCTAGAGACACTTAATTGTATACATCACGTGTTTCGGCTAATCGATAGTGGCTGCTGACCAATAGCATGTGCCCGTTAAACATGGCTCCGTGCAAAATTAGATTCGCACGCCGATGAAGAGAATTAGCTTCTATTAGAAAAGAGACTTAGTCTTATTCCTTAATACGGTCAGCAGCAGATAAGTTTCATGCCACCTTTTTCTTACTGGTCTTCTTACTGCGAGGCAAAGTAGCGAAACTCGTAATCTGAAATACATGAAAATATTGTGTCTTATTACTTTTATTATGAAATTCAACATTGGCATATTGTCAATTTCTTTTGCCATTATTTTGATTTTTTTTGATAGAAATTGAGCAGTAATTGGTCCAAAAAAAGGAGCACATCATTTAAACACATCTTTTAAACAGAAGTTTAAAAGTTTAGATTGAAATTTAGTTTGATAAGCATCTCATCAGTTATATTAAGTTAATCATGAGGTAATTTAAATTTTAAGAGTTGGAGATTTCTGATCAATCAAATAAAAACGAATAAACTAAATAAATTATTTATTTGTGATTCGGAAGAGAGTTAATTGTATTAATTGCATTAATATTATATATATATATATATATATATATATATATATATAATGCATAGATTATATATACATATAATTGTATTAGAATTCCAGAAATTAATACATCATGCAAGGCTACTGTTACGTGTTATGATTAATGAAAATGGAGTTAATTATGGATTAACAAGAGACACTCAGAAACTAGTCCATACGATCTTAACGGATCAGTCCAATTCTTCTGCCCGGATTTCCCGAATTAGGATAAAATATCTATGAAATATGGGAAAATAGGATAGCAGAAGGAACAAGCTTTTTTTCTTATATCTTAAGAATATTTGCAAAAACAAATACATGTAGTGATTAAATACTTTCTATGAAATGAATTTAATTAATATCAGTAATTATCTCTGTTTTGCTGTTGTGAGGCAACGGCTGTGCCATCTCACGAATCTCAAAATTGGATTTACTTTCAAGATTCTTTTCACAATTTTCAAAGTTTTCCATATTTCTTGTATCGTCTCGAATCTTATTATTTTTAATTTCATTGAGATCTGTTTCATTCAATGGTATAATAAAAGTATCTGATTTATCGGCAAAAGAATTGACGTCTTTATAAAAACTTTTAATATCATTATGCTCTTCTTTTAGTGAAATCTCTTCCATATCTATTTCCTGTTTCGAAGTTGATAATTTCGCGGATGCGTCCACATACACCTGAGACCCAATACTACCCGATCTCGATGCTGATTCGCTGGTCTCGGAGAATGTAGAGCTGGAATCGTCCTCTTTGGAAGAAGTTTCGCTTTGGTCCTTATGAAAAGCATTGTGAAAGATGTTCTTTGGGATCGTTAATAATTTGGAAAAACTCTCTTTAGCGCGTAATCTGTTAGATTTTTTCTTTTTCTTTTTCAAATCCGTGGGCAAAAAAATCTCTTTCGTAGCGTCCGCATTTGGAACAGTTCTTAACATTCCAGTTTTAATAATTAAAGTAGCCTTCAAAGCATTTTGAGATTCGTCAATGTTTTCGTCAATGTTTTCATTATTTGTTGTTGCTGCAATATCTAATGGAGTTTTCGGAGCGGGTTTTTTATGGTATTTCCCTGCGCGATTATCGCCGTCAAAATTGCAACTTGAAATCGGTGTCACAGAACGCTGGATCATGGTATCGTTATTCCTATTTAGAGAATCATCAATTTTTATTTCTGAAACATCATGTTCCTTACCTTTATCGAGTGTATTCAACTTTTCTTGGGAAGATACGATGCTTGTCGCAATTTTATGTGCGTCGTTTAACAATTCCTTTAACTCATTAAACTTTTGTTGACATATTTCGTTAGTTGTTTGTTCAATATCAGCATTGATATCGGGATTTTGGGAAGAATCTATCTGATCTTCTTTTGAATTTTCATCGATATATTCAATTTGCATTTGAGACTCATTTTGCTGAAAATCAAGTTCGTTAATCGAATTATCGACATTTATTTTATCTGTGTTTTCTATTGCCGGAATCGATAGCTTTTCCATCGAGATATTCTCAATTTCTATAGTTTGCACCGTTTGTAAGTCTATTTGAGTCGAATCTGTGTCTACAAATTCACTCGACTCTGTCGATGACGATTCGCTGTCTTCTATTTTTATTGCGGATTGATTTTCGCTCGCAGATTGATTTTCGTTTGCAGATTGATTTTCATTCGCGGATTGATTTTCGTTCATGGATTGATTTTCGTTTATGGATTGATTTTCGTTCATGGATTGATTTTCGTTGGCGGATTGATTTTCGTTCGCAGATAGATTTTCATTCGCGGATTCATCGATATGAGTCGCGGTAGATTCAGTGATCGAGCAATCTTTCAATTTCTTAATCTGAGAAAACAATAGCAGAAGTTCGACAGCTTGTTCGGGAGTGAGGGCATTCAGGGACGACGGAAGGGAGATATTTTCAGGAGATGGAAGTTCGATGCGGTTGAAATCCTTGCCCTTGTCCTTCAAAGACCACAAAAAAAGTACGTATCATTAACTGAGTCGACGAGTGTGCATATCGGAGAATGATCCGTGATTTCTTTTTTGCAATGATCGGGACAATGATACCATTATTATTATTATATTCTACGATATACTTTATCGGCTTACTTCTGGCGTCTTCTTCGTGGTAGAACGAGGCTTTACGCGCGTTCTCGCACCGACGCTCGACGTTCTTACTAAGGCGTCAACCTGAGAAGTAATGCGCTGAGACTGCAATGCCTCACCGCTACTATAACCGCTAGATATGTCGTCCGAAGACCTTATATTTCTATGAGCGTAGGAAAAATTAGTTATTATCGATATTTATGTAAATAATAATGTGAAAATTTCATATGAAATATGTTACACACGTTAAACTAGCTATGGGTTCCCTAGGCCTTGGTTGTCGGACGTCGACATCTACTTCGGAAAAATACAAGTCTACTCGAGACGCGTTGCTGCTGGACTGGGTTCTACGAGGACTATAGCCTCTTCTACCGGCATGCTCTCTTCGACGAGGTTCTACTACAAAAGAAATTATTTTTTGTTTGTAAATAATATGATTTAGAGTTTTTTTAGGATATTTTGTTTCGATTTAATTTTATTAATCAAATTAAATCGAAACAAGATATTATTCTGAAATTAAGAAATGCGAATCTGATCTAGACTGTGAGTTTTAAATAAACATAAATAAGCGCTAAAATATGAAAAAGAAAAAACACATGTTTGAACATTTTTGCGTTCATTAAATATAATCGTTATATTTTTTTAAATGTTATGTTTTCATTTAATTACATGATACTAGAAGTCGGTTACCTTCCATGTCTGTCTCGTCATGCGCATCGGATGTGTTCCTATTTTCGTCCTCCTTTTCGCCGGTTAGATCACTGAGGCTGTAACTTTTTCGCAATTGCTGCACCAGTCCGCCGCCACCCTGGAAAAAGAAATCGCTCGTGAAATATTTATCGTTTCATAGAAATGATGCGGCCAGCATGTTACCTACCTACTGCGACAAAAAAGAATCGTCATCAAAATATTTTGATTGAGTAAATGAAGAAAACAAAATAAAAATCTTACCAACCAAAAGAATGTTAATGTGTTATCTGCCGTCACCGGTCATGAAGAAGGCAAACTCCCTTTACGCCGAATTTCGACAATCCGAAAGCGATTTCTTGCTTTTTTCCATATCGAGACACTTGTATTTACTTGTATCTATCTTTTTGTTAGACATGCGTTGTCTAAAAGCACACGACTGTAGACGGTATAATGGGTGCATTTTATGCGTGAGTAATATCTATATAACGCGTATAAGCGGCATTAGTTTCTATTAACGTAAATTTATATTTTTGAAAAAATGCGCCTGGCAAAAGAGAATTAAATGCTTGTAATTAAATCTCTCCGTTCGAAATACAGTAGGCAAGTAAAGGATAGAGGACGCGGTTACTACGACGAGATGTATAACAGAAACGAAGAGAATCGAAGACTCTCTCAAATAATGCTTTTATTTGAAAAAAACAACTCATAATAATCGAAATCTTTGGGATCGGGTACAAAAATCTTACTCGCTAAGACAGCTCTCGACGCTACAAGAGCTCGCGCGTAGAAAAAACCACAGCAATAAGAAGGCACTGGAGGTTTGCACGTTCAGAAATTATCTTTGTTGTCGCAAAGACAAAGACTAAACCGTTTTTGTACGCTCTTCGATTCTATCAACTCACAACAACTGAGATACACGTTCAAGTGTTTCATTGTAATTGTCATAATTGTAGTTGTTTTACGAGACAAACAATTACTATATAATATATGTATAATATATAATAAGTATAAAAGTAATTTAACTTTTATAAAATTGCAAAAAATTACACGTGTTTTTTTAGTCTATGCGTTTCTATAAATAAGTTATACCAAACAGTGACGGACATTTTTATTGGACTAGTTTATCCGAAGCAACAGGATACGTCCATCATCCATTTGTTGACAACGCATAAACTTTATTGCTGTATTTTTCCCACGTGCGCGTATATCGCGCGTGTATCAGACACGTGCAATCTAACGCAAATTCATGTTCATCGATAATTTTGTACATGAAACGCGAATACAAATACACAAACACACAAATAACACAATATCTATCGATGACAATGATAACAATGATGACTCTGCCATAGCGCATAATTCGCCCATTTCGTTGTACGTTATTCGATTCTTAATTTCAGACTAACAATTTCTTTTTCTGAGTTTCTAAAATATATCTTTCAAGACGTCTGATATATCAAATATGTAGCATAATTCATAAGAGTATGAGACGTATGTTTAAGTCTCGGTTGTGTCAACAGTGTAGATCGAAATAATCTAAATTAGAGAATTGTTGTCTTTTTGATAAATAATAATCCTATTATATATATTAAAGAGAAAGTTAGAAAAATTTTATCTAATTAAAGTAAGTATTAATTAATGTCGATGCAATCTCTCTCGAGTGCTTGTTAATTGTCCTAATGGCTTTATTATATTTATTTGTTATGTGCCTACAGTCTACATTGCAAATAATAAAATGACAATGATATGAAAAAATATGTAATTGATTCTTGTAATGTATTCTATATAATGTATTAATTACTACATTATATTAATAATACATTATTTAATATATTATTTAATTCTATATATGACTTTAATTCTTATATGATGTATTTATTATATAAAATTTTTAGTTAATATTTTTTTTTCTTGAACTTCTCTAATATGATTCGATCTCTCTTTAAATAGTAACTCTTAAGCCTGTATTGAAGGTCGTCACCTTAATAACTGACATTATTATTAACGTCAATATGATGTGCGCAATATAAAAATATTAAAATAGCATTGTGACTTTAAGATTACCTTACATTCCAGTTATATATAAGACGATCGGATACACAATTCTTATGATTTCTGGAATCGAATAAAGTTTACGTGGAAAAATACAAATAATGTACGCATAAAATAAGGCATACAAGGACATAACTAACAAGTCTTATTTTTATCGAAAAGAAATGTGTATACAATTAGAAATTGTTCATATATATTATATTCATTGTAAGGACATGTAAGGGGTTGTAAAGTTCTTACATCTTTAAAATAAAGAATACGAAATTATATAAAGTCTACGTTTCTTATGTCCCTTATCTTATCAGTATTAATTTTTTATGGCTAATATATATTGTCCACGATTAAACAATCACACATAATACAATTTGTATATTTACGGAGAGATTTTTATTTAATAGAAAGATAATATATTTATTCGTACGATATTATTTATTCGTACTATTTAATGAAAATTTCTCATGAATTCGCGAACAGAAAATTCCGCTTCGTGAACTCGCGCATAAAAAAATATGTAAAAGAAAAACTTGTAATAAATTGCATGAAAAAAAATATCAAGATGAATGCACAATGTGCAGAAAATTCTGTCATCGCTCCTCAAAAGCACTAACTTTCGTATAATTAAATCTCTTATTCATTTTTACTCATTCTTATCTTATTCATAATTATATAAACAGCTGTAATCCCTTATCTTTGATAAAATTGACGATACTTCCCAATATATCGATTCATTGGTCTGCTTTCGGTCAAATTTTTGGCAACCAATTTCGGTAATCTCGTTCCACCATCTCTATACGGAATCATTCGTTCCTCGAATTAATTGATTTCGGCATCGTCGCTAAAATTTATGTCATAATTCATCGAGGCCGATTTGCAGGCACGATTCTTCTGGCGCCTAATAGCTTCGGTACTGCCACGTCCCTTTTTCGACTTCCGCGTCTTCCGCGGAGCTTCCTTTTCAGGCATTTTAAACGGTACTGGCTCTTCATTCGGTAGCTCGTGATCCGTGTCTGTCGTCGGTAGTTCCTGCATCATGTCTTCGTCGTCGTCCGTCGAATCGCGATGCTGCCAGTCGATGGACAATGCATCTGTATCGCCCATCACGAGATTATCGGACTTAGCATGTTGATTGTAGATCACGTTGCCGTCCGGACAATCCGGCCCGTCCATCTGCTGGTTGTTTAACCGCGTCGTTCTGGGGTTGGCTAAGCTAGAAATCGCCGGGTCTGATTGGCGGTCGGGGAGTGCACTCGTCGTGTTCGGGAATACGATCGGGAGATTCTGTCATGTGACGCCGATATCGCATTTTGTTTAATTTTTGCATTTTGATCGATCAGCAATAATCGGCGTATTCGTGTTGATGATTATTATTGTTGTTACAGGTCAGTGGTCAGAATTTTATCGGCGGCGATTCAGATTTGACAAGCAATGACAGCAGTTAAGACGTTGATTGGACGGTGGTTAGGTGCTCGATGTTTTGTCGTGCATTGTTTTGCGAATGGCGATGATCGGTTTGTTTATTTTTTTTTGTTCGATTTTTGATTAGGCAGTAAGGCGGCGATGCGGCGACGTGCGGGAACGCGGACGGGACAGAGAACGAAAACAGAAAAAATCAAAAACACGTAAAATCATTAGTGGGTAATCAGGGATAGGTCGATATAATTTTATGCATGATCAATGAAAGCGAGAGGCTGGTTAAAGTACGAAATCCAACAAGATAAAACATTCCTGTATACTCTCTGGCAGCCTTTTTTCCCAAAATAGAACTCTTATATATAAATTTTATAACTTTTCTATTCTCTTTATATGAGAGATAATTGAAATGTTAAATGGAATAAATTTTTTCAAAATGAGACTCTTCAAAAGCTGCCAGCTGTTCTTACATTTATATCTAAGAGTGTCTTAAATTATCATTTTATCTTCTATCCAATTTTTCAAAATCAATATGAAATTAATGAAGGAATCTTCAGATGAAGGAATAATGATAATTTCTAAACACCCTGTACGATACATTTTTTCCGATGATCAACGTGGGATCTTACCTTGATGGCGGTCTGCATGAGGACCGTGGTGGCATAGTTGACGCCCTTGGTACCAAGATGCAACACTGCCGTATAACCCTGCTCAGTCGCGCGTGCTATGGCTTCGTCGATCTCGGCTTCACGACGGATTAGCGCGGGATGCACGAAGCGTCGGTAAAGGATACTGGAGCCCTTAGTCGCCGGGCTCAGCAGCCACAGTACCAAGATGATTTTAATCTCATAGTAAAATGGGAACCTACGTAACAGACGTCGAGAAGTGTAAAGTGTCGCAGCGCCGATGCGCTCATGCAACTTTTTTCTCTTTCTCTTATTCGATCATCTATCTATTTATATATCTCTTCCAATATATTAATATTGTAAACTATATAATTATAATAATATTTGTATGTACAAAATATTATAAAACATCCATTTATATAATGAAAAAATTCAAAATTTATTAAATTAGTAAAAAAAACACAGATATTAAAACCATTAGTTTGACAGCGACGCTTTTATAAGGATTTTCAAACAAACATTTTTATGTAATAATGATAATTAAAAAATAGCTGATCTATCTCGTACATACAACGTATTGTTACATGCTTGTAATCTATTTGATTCAATTCGCACTGCGAAAAATTCATCACGAATGTGAAAGTGAGGGCGGCTTGGAGAAAAGCGTAAATATCAAGAGAGTATCAGGCATTTTGATGCTGGAAATATGCGAATATGCACTCGTTTCCTTTTTGGTGGTAATTCGAGTATGAAGGGAGATCTGGCACGAGATGCTCTCCAACGATAAGGAGGGGAGACAGAATGGGAGAGTAGGACAAAGAGAAGCAAGAGAACGGGAAGGAAAAGGCGCGCGGGCAGAATCCTCAGAAGTGCATGTAAGCCAATATCTATCTCATCCGAAATTAGACTTTCGGAATTCCTCGTGATGAGAGCGCGGCTTTCAGACCGCGCGGTTCGCAGCTGGTTTATTGGCCCCTTGCTTGCCCTCGCGCCACGACTCCAAGATTCATCTCAATATCCGCTGTATTATGCTACGTACACACGGTCGCTATCAAATCAACGCGTTGCTATTTCCTAAAGCGTGTTTCAATTTTCATGCCCTTTCGGTACTCTTTAAGGAATTGATGGTTAACTTGAGATCATTTTTGAATTACACACTCTCGATATATTAGAGTCTTCTGAGTCAAGTTCGATATATAAATCAAGAGCAAACGATGATCCACAAATATTAACATTGAGTTAAAATTGATATTTTAGAGAAATGAAATTTGATGAAAAATGTTTATACTGTTTCCTTTTTTAGATATACTTCGCAAAGCCTTATTCTCCATATTCGAAATAAAATTTGTATTGTTGACATTATATGTGACATTGTAATTAATTAATTATTATCAAACTTTGTCATATAAAAAAATTCACCATAAAATAATTAAAAATATCATAAATATATAATGTAAAGTTTAAACTCTATGAACAGGAAAATGGATTAATGTATTATATTGATAAGTAAACGAATTAAAAAAAAATGTAACGAAGACAATTTTGATAATTGATTTCAATGAAGTTTACAAACATCGGAAATATTTAATAAATGTATGATATCTCATATATTTAAAGAAAAAATGATTCATTTCTTATAAATATTTCCATTATCATACTTATCGTTAGACTAATATATAATAATGCCCATAATAATAGTTTTAAATCATAGTATAAAATATAAATCGAATATAAAAATATTACATGAATAATTATTTGGCTAAATTGTAAAATACATTATTTATAAAAATAATATGATAAATATATAATAGTAATGAAAGTCTCACCAAAAACTAAAGAAGACATCGGTAAATGTTTCCGCGCACGTGAATAGTGCGAATACGATCCAGTACATCATCCATTTGACCTGAAACCAGAAAGATTTCAGAACATGGATTATTGCAAAAAACAGCAAAGTAATTCTTGATTTATCTTATTTTACATTAAATAAAATATTACAAATTGAATAAAAGTGATAAAAAATAAAGAATAAAAATACAAATCCATATAATTTATATTAATCGTTATCCACAAAGAATAGAAAAATTAATTTACTTTAAGAATAGAAAAATTAATTTACTTTAGATAAAATTAAATTTTTAAATCAAATTTTATTTTGCATATTTCTTCTAGACAGATTACTAATAAAATAAATATATAAAATATTTGTGACGTCAGAGTTACTTAAGTAATAACAGCTCATGAAGATTATATAATATATTTTTTACATATTTTATTTTTATATCTCCGCAGTATATTAATTTTAATCAAATTATTATTTTCATATCATTATTTCAAAGAGATAAGAATATAGCGAGAATTTCAAAATCTACTTTTATTATATCTATTTAATTAAGCTCATGCAGAGGATGTTTGATTTATGGCCATTTCTATCAACGCCGCTTAACTTTAATCTTAGCTTAACTCATTCTTTGTCTCTTTCTAAAGGAACAGTTAGAAGGAGACAAAGAATGAATTAAGCTAAGATTAAAATCAAACGACGTTGGTAGATACAAGCATTAAAGGTTAAAATCATATTCGCGCGAAAGTTATTTATTATTTATAGTTTCTCTCTTACATATTCCTTAACATTCTTCGTGCGCACCGCCTTGTAGGAAGCGTACGCTGGGTAGAGGGTGCCAAAAACCAATCTGAAAATCGGATAAACAAGCCTGTAAATTAAGGATCGCGGCGATACTATCGCCAGGAGCACCGTCAACAATCCGACGTTGTTCAACGTCATTCTTATGGGAAATGTTTGCAGCCAGTAATGACACCAGGCCATTGTCTGTCTCGCCAAAAGATCACAGATTCCAGCTCTATGGATCAACGCGATAGGCAATTCGTCCGATCGCGATTCGTTTTTCTCGAAGATCTCTATCGTCGATCGATGGTCTTGTCTCGTTTCCATCGTATTGTCAATTTATTTCGCTCTATCCCTCTTTCTCCCTCGCGTTACGACGATAACGTTTCTTTATCCCCGAAATCTTGAATTCTTCCGGAGATTCTGCGACGATCGTCAGATGAGTATGACGAGTCCAGCTGCAACATAAAAAATTATTTGAATTGTCAATATATGTGTTAATAATACAATTGCAATACAGTAGATTCAATGGTGAATGGTTGAAACAGTTAGTTGAATGAAGTCGATATTTCAAAATCTATTTAATGAAATCGACTTTCGCATTTGTTAAGGATTCAATGAATGAATTCGAATTATAGGATAACAGTAGTTTTTCTTCGGCTAAAATATTGATAAAAGCAGATATTAATTGGCAAAATTACTATCAACTTATTAATATTAATACGAATATTTAAATATAAATATACATATTTCAATCAGAAGTCATATTGTATTATAATTACATTTGAATATGTACATAAAAATCATCGACTATGTTTTCAATATAAAAGGTATATTTTGGTATTTAATTTTGTATTTATTATCCTAGGTTTAATTTTTAAAATTTTACTGCAAAATATTTATATTCGCATTTTATTAGGAACTATATAGCTTATCAATATAATTAATAAAATCACATTTATATCAAATATTCATTAAAATTTCAAATGTCATTTTGCATTCTATTAAAATCTAATGTTTGCATGTATCATAAAACATTTAATCGAGCGATTTAGCGGTTTTCGATAATGGCATCACGAAATTATGATCGAACTCGGGATTCCGAAGTAGCGCTTTCGATTCAAGCGTAGTCATTCGATTGAGGTCTGCCTCAATTACTGCGGCCTCGTTTAAGGGATTGTGCAAGAAACTTATTATGGAGAACCAATTAAACACGCGATATCGCCGATCCGTATCTTTTAAAAGATCGATATCTTTTAAGAAATGAGATTAGATATAATTCACAATATGAATACACAGAAATTAGTCCCTATCTTTATTTATGTTTTCTAGCATTATTTATGCTAGATTTCTTGTCGTTGCATCACATAATATTACAGTATGATCGTACATGCTATAATAAATATAAATCTTATACGTACAGTAAAAAATTAAATAGAGAGATAAATTAAAAAAGATAAATAGAGAGAGATTAAACTGTTAAATCATCAACAATACTCATCGTATTTTAAATATTTTTTTTTAAATTTAAAGTACTTATAAACTTCAATTATCTGCTCATTAATCAAGAGATTAGAAACTTTCTTAAACTTTCTTAAGAATTTTAGAATTGCTTAAGTAACATTCTTAAACAAGAATGTTAATTAAGCAATTCGTCATGTAAATTACAATATTATTGTTCGTAAATAACTCGATATCAAAAGTTCTTCAATAAGTTCTTCTATTCACATTTCACAAAATTTTTTAATGAATGATTTTTAATAAATATAATGCTTCGTTCTTACAATCTAATCAGTTCATCCGTCAGATTCATCCGTGTTTCGTCTCCTTGTTGCTTATTCGTCCTATTGCATGCAAGACGATTTGTCAATTCCTTTGTATTGAATTCTGTCAGGTCTTTTCTTGCTTTCTGTTTTCTTTCGAAATTATTTCCTCGCGCGTATCTGAGGTCAAACTCCAAGTACACCGCGTCACTCGCTCTACTCGCGATTGCTTCCAGATCGAGACTAAACGCTTAGCCTCGCTCGTTCGAACATCGTCAACGACGACGACGACGATGAGCAATGCAAGCCGCTGCAGAGACTCTATTTTCGCATCTTAAGCCGTTGTCACGCTTGCAGTCTGAATCAACGCGACGCGATATCCGAAACACTTCAGGTTAATCACGACTTTCTCGCATGATGCTTCACCTATGTTTGCGGCACAAGTACTGTGAAACTAATTTCCGCATTCGTTCGGTAAACCATCTTTTAGGTCAAAAGTGTTTATATACGTTATAAATCAAGGTAAACAAAAATTATCAACAGAATTAAGAAATATTATTTTCAAACAGAAACTGTTCCAAGATTTCTATAGTCATCTACAGATTTATTGAGTATTTTGTGACCGATAATATTTATGGATTTTCATAATCTTTCTGACATGTTCAAATTTCAAATGAAATTTTTATTGCAATTTATCCGAAAATAAATAGAAATTAAAGTTTTATTATCTACATTTTCATTACATAAAATTTTAAGCTTCAATTATACAAATTCTTAAGTTTTTAATTATTTTAACTTCAAGATTTTCTTAAAAACGCTTTTGATCTATTAAGACTTATTTCTATTCCGATTACATTATATATGATTGATTTCAAAGACATAAAAAAGATAAAAGAGAGCGCGAAAAACTTGAGATATTCTGTATAATACATCAAAAAAGTTCAAAAATGATCCTGAAATGTCTTTCATATAAAGAATTAAAAGTGCTTATGATCACGATGTATTTAAAGTGTCCGGTCGTTTTCCCGCGAGTGGGTCATCTCCGGACGCGCCAGAGAGCAACGAGTTAATTATATGCGCCAACCTAAATATCGTGTCGGTCAACCTATATCAGTTATTAAGAATCGTGAGTGTTTAATTTTCTTAACAAATATTCGAATTTAGCCGAATAAAATTTGCGAGTAAATTTAATATGTCGATATCGTTTTCTTTAAACTAGATCGTAATTATAGTCGTTATCAATATTTTTAATAAATATCGCACGTTTTAAACATATATAGAATAACACGTAAGTCATGTGGGAAATATAACGTGAACATTGTTTCTCCTGAACACGACATGTGCAAATATATGATGTTCTCTCGAAAGTTTCGACAGCACTCTGGAGGCCTCTAAAGTCTGTGGAGAATAAAATTAAACAGCGCATAATGCATAATAGCTATAACTTGTATTTATAACTTTAGAAACTAATTTCGACGTTATTTGTTGCTTAATCAAGTTTTATTTTATATAAAGCGAGATTTGGCAGAACGATATTTGCTCGTGTTTAATTCCCTTCAATCGGAGTACACATTTCCTTATACGCAGAAAAACAATAGAAGCATTAACGCAACTTGCCAAGTCACTTCGTCAGTCGAGTGAATTAAATTAACGCGTTAGTATCAATTATTCACAGATCACGAGAACCATAGAGAGGACAAAAATTGAACCGGTATAATAGAGAGAGTGCGATTTTCTATACCGGAAGAATGCATTCCCTCTCTTTAACAACGTAATCTAACGTTATTTAACTCGATTTCACTATTGTCACAAAAAACCTCAAAAAAGAATTCTTTTCGTTTTATGCTATATTAGAGAAAGAGAAAAATAGTTATCAATATTTTAAATTATATCATTAGATTATTATATTAAATTTTGAAAAATATTACAATAAATATAATGTTATATATTTCGCAAGATCTTTTTTATCTCTTTATCTCCTGATGTCACATTGACTCGCACTATCACTGTTAATTTTCTACGACATATTTTTTCTTTAATAATTAAAATACCGACAATATTTTATATATAAATATATATCGCTAACACAATGCAAAATACATTTTACACTCGCAATCGATGAATCGTTCTTTCATGTTCGACATCGATGCTACCATGATGACATCGTGCGAAAAACTGAGCAAATCCTCGACTCGCGATCCTACGAAACTGCGGACGATCGCCTGCAGTCGCAGGTAATTCGATGATTGTCACCAATGTCGTTCTCTCTGTCGTTGCGTAACTGATTGTATCTAATGCGCAGTCCGCATCGCTCGCAGCGCGAACACAATCGTTCGCGGCGCATTATTCACGCCCGGTCGCTTCCGGTTCCGGTTCCGATAGGCGAGATGACGATACGCGAGTCATCCTTTCGATTCGTTCGTGGCGTATCAGGACGAAGAAGTTAGCCGACTGGCAATCGCGCGATAAGACGGCGACGATTTACGACCGTCGCGATTCCACCGTGGCCATTTACGAAATTGAATGTCCACCTACTAGTTCTACCGTAAGATTATCTATCGACTGGATATCTCGTAAAGGAAGATCCTGCTACTTTTGTCCCGCCTTTTTGTCTCTACTTCACTATTATGTATGTTCGCTTCTTCCAGCCGTACATTTCCATTCCGGGGAGTTTGTCAAAATTTTTATTACCTCTTCCTTTAATCTTTACACTCGAGAGATAATATTCGCGATGTGAAATAGATTTTTGATTTAATATATATCTATAGAGAGAACATTCTGAAAATATAGTTATATTTTTATCCACATATTTTTTCTTATTAAATTTAAATTTCAATTATGTAACTTGTTCATTATTTTCTTAGATATGTATCGAATAGATTGATTTGATTTTCTCTTATTTTAGCGCAAACTTACTTTCGCTGATTAACTTTGAATATATTATTGTATATATTATATGATATCGGCTTTGCTTTTTGTATATCTGTTTGATACTGAAAAACAACATTGCAATATTGCGTTTTTATTCAAGATCGTACAATACTTGAAACTTTCCAATCGAATATGGCTATCATTATTTGCAATATTAGTGATTCACAAATACCGGTGCAGTTTGTGCAGTTTCGTTCGCGTGACTACAATTATTAATTGCTAGCTTTTGTTCCGTTAACTGATCTTACATAAGTGATCTTACATAGAGATGCTACACTTAGATTTTACTACACAAAATGTGCTTTTTCTAAATAAAATTATGTTTTTTGAAAAAGTTATATAAACTACAATACATGTAATATACAGAATGGTCAAAAAGTTTGATCGATTTAATAAAAAATTCTATTTATTAAAAACAACTCGTATATATTTTAGGATCTCCTGAGTAAGAAATTTCATAAATTTTCTCAGAAAAAATGTATATTTATAATGTAAACGTATATTAATGTAATTAGAAGAAAGAAATTAAAGAGATTAAAATTGAAAAAGTTAAATTGTGTATGTGCGTATGTGTGATATACTCATTTTTTTATAGATTATTATTATATATAATTTTTTTTAACATATGAAATAAATGAAATAAAATATTGCCCTCATCTTTGATATTCAACATTATGCATTTTATTTTGCCTGCTTTTTATTTTTAAAATAACACATTTGAAAAAAATGAAAATTAAAAAAAATGTTTTTTCCACAGAATATGTTATATTTATGGAGATATGATTACACTTTTATATGTACAAACATTTTTGTTTTTAATTTTTGGGATTTATCAAATAATATATGGCATAAGAAAATAAATAATATGCATATAACGTACACTTTGTAATATTCTTAGTAATAAATAAATATGTGTATATATATATATACATATATATATATATATATATATATATATATATATATTGTATAATTTATTGAGCTCTGAAACTGGCATCTGCGAAAGATTGAAAGAAATTAGGAACATGATTCAAACTTATTGTTTGAAACATGTCATATAGAACGTCGAGTTAATTATGCGATTATGATTCTATATTGCTAAAGCCATATGTTTTCATGTTTATTAATGACGACAACATGTAACTTCTCTTTTCTATTGCAATATAGGTATAAACAAGGTGGTCTTGGTTGCGAGAATAAGATTATTCATATGTATCGCGAGGTCAAGATCATTATCGTTCATTTGCGCATAATCTGAATTCCGTTATGCCTCGTTTAATCTGTACTATGATTTAACGTGATACTAAAGTTTTCGATATTCTGTTTTCTATGTGAAAGTTTTATATTGTACAAAGTGTTTAATCATGTTAAATTAAACACATGTTAAACGCATTAATGTTAAACGCATTTAATCGTGTTAAATGCGTTATAAATTTTAATAACTAAATAAAAAATAAATTTTCGATATATTTGCAATATGTGAATTGTAGCGAAATATTGATGCAAAAAGTTATTACTTAACGCTTTTCAATTAAGAATATTTCGGCAGTCTTAAGTATAAGTAAGTTATAAATACATAAAATTTTATACAAAATTAGGAATAAAAGTACATTAAAATTATGATTAAATTTTTATGAGAAATAATACAATAAATCTATTAAAATAATATCAAATAATAAGATAATAAGATAATAAAATTTAATAATAAAATCTAATAATAGTATCTATTAAAATAATATCAAACGTGTATATCGTACGATGTAGTATTTTAGTTGTTTTTAAATGTTTTTAGCGGTTTTATATGTCTACTGAACCAAGAAAACGAATATTCTTTCTATTCAATTTTTTTTATTCTAACAATAAAAATATAGCTATATAGATTTAGTGCACGGAAAAACCTTGCAAGAAATATGTGTAAGGTTATTGACAAACTGTAAATGGAGCGATGTGTGTGTGTGTGTGTGTAAAATCTAGAGACTGGTTATTGCTTTATATTGTCAAATAAAATTTATTTTGTATTTGCCGCTATTAAATAACCATTATAATAATTATTACGAGTAAAATAAATTCAGTACACTGAATTTTTCGCAACAGAAATTGTTTGTTGCGTTCGAGAAATAATTAAAACTTCTATTATAATAAAATTCATGTAGAAGATATTTTAAGACATTATTGATAACGACAAATATTCATTCTTCTAGTATTATACTGTGACTCATCCTGTATTAAGCACTTCTGCATTAATCATGCATTATTAATTGCTTTATACAGATGTATATGTATGTAACTACTCTAGAGACAATTCATTTTAGATTCTAAGGTATTGATAGACAAGCAACAAAATTGCAGTAAGAAGGACATGCGTAGTTATTTTGGGACGAGGACGAAGAGATCAACCTAATCTAATAATAAAAGTATGACAATGATTTATTTCAGGAAGCTCGTTTAAAGTGCGCTAAGAATAATATCAAGTCTTATTAACATTTCATTAAATATTAACTAACATATATAATTATGTCTAAAGTAAACGAATTAAGGAAAATTTTTCATGTATATATCGATATATTATTTTAATTATTTGCCAAATGTATATTAATTGGATTTAAATAATTTTCTGGTTGCGTTATTTAGGTAATTTAAATATTGAATAAAATATGTCATTTCTCGACTAAATTGAATTAAATATTCAAATATGCAATCTTGAACTCTATTACACGAAACGAAAATTCTGTAAACTTGATTTATATTACGGACTTTATAGTGATAATTAGGCAATTGAATATCAACGAGCCAATACAATCATTTTTATTATCTGTCTTATCCTTTTTTTGATATTTTGATAATTACGGCAAATTTAATTAAATTATTTTATGGTAATTTGAAAAAATGTTTCTGGATATTAAAGTGAGAATTTCTGGCATTAAGATTTTCTGGAATTTTTCCAAAACGTGAAACGCGCATTCGAATTACCTACTCAGAATGCAACGAGTCATGGGATAAATGCTATTATACAGCCAACTCATTAACCTTGAGGCACACGATAAAATACGGTAAAACAAAACAAAAAGAACAAGTAACAATTTCCTCATTTTTTTCTAATCGAAGGCCTTAGGAATATTTATATATAAATGTAACGAACGCTAATTTTATTCTAACAAATAACTGATAACAAATAACTTTTCGCATCCACTACTTTTTCAATATCGATACTATATTGAAACAATTATATATATATATATATATATATATTAAAATGATTTTTGATGTATTTTCACATTTATATCATACATATATTTCAGATATCTAATAATTGAATTCCACAAAAATAGAAAATATTCAAAATAGAAAATATAGTATAACATATTTTGCAACATATTACGAAATGCAAAAAGTGCGAAGTATTTCATCTGCTTTCTTTCCCGTTTCATTATATGTTTTAAATAAAATATTTCAATAATCGAGAAAATCTTTCTTACAATGCTTGTTTTTAAATGCAATTTTATTTATCGTGTACAATATATTGTAATTTATTAATTTATTTTAAAGAATATAACAGTATATTTGAGATTAGGAACTTGATCGTTTATTTTACGATTCAGATTTTATTCAAAAAACCAAGAATGTAAAAATATTAAGAAGATTAATATATATTTTATTATGTTAAATATATTGTATAACATTTCTATTTGAAATTAAGAATTTTTATACTTTTATACTTTTATCGTCTTATAATTTATATAAAATTTTCAAAAATAAAAACGAGAGAAAATCACAGATATTAATTTCATTTATCATGAAATAATTCTTTCGCTGAAATCATTCATACGATATAATAGCTATATTCGCAATTGAGAATCGTCCATTTTCTTCCAGTCGCTCTCATGACTTGGATACAATTTTTAAAGGTGATGGTAGAAAAACCACGGATACCATGTTAACGACTGTTATCCGCTTAAAAATCGGCGCGTGGAAATTGCGCGAATAATGCACCACCGTTGGAACGAGCACAGGTGTGGCTCGCTTGGGTGGCAAGAAGCATGTCATGTTGGTTCGTTCAGCAAAATCTTATCAAAAACTATGGAGAAACGTCAAGGCAATTCGACACGCGCGAGATTTCTAGTCTGGACTCATAAGAGAAAAAAAGGAAGAGAGAGAAAGAAAGAAAATAATGATCTGAATGTGCCTTGGAAGCGACGTTTCTTGTTAAGACAAACGAAAAATTGAGATAGAAGCCTCGTAAAAATGCTCTTTGGAATTGGTGCAAAAGCAATGCGCACACACAACAATGACCTCAATTGCAACCGTTTGAACCGTTCACCAGCTGATCATCTATTAACAAGAGGCAGTGCGGAGACAGAGCATAAGTTAGATTAGAAAGTACAGATTTCATCCAGCTAAAGTAGCTCGCTAAATCTAGCAACATTAGAATGTTTCTGGAAGATCTATCTCTCTCTTATCAGCATCGTCTTCTCATTGATTTTCCTGGATGTACGATTTATCTTAAATACATCGAGTGATTAATCATCTTAACCATCTGAAATATTTCTGCTGTTTCGTTCTCACCGATTCTCATTAATTCAGCTATATTTCGCGAACATATCTTATTTGTTAGTATAACATTCCCATAATTCAATAAAAGATATTTATGGTAGTGTATCTGTATAAAAGTGCTACATGTAACTATAGGATTTATTTATCGTGCACTCAGCGCAAAACATTGCCATTTGATTCTCTTGGTTTGTCATATAATATCCAAAAAAAATTAATCATACGAATACTAATAATTTAACTATTCATATAAAATTTATATAATATTTATTTATTAATTAAAAAGAGAGAGTGTGATAAATTATGCTATTATGTAATATAGTATTCTATGTAATGAATTTCAAATCTTTTCTAGTTTGTTTTATAATCAAAAAACGCAATATATATGTACGATATATATATACGATCGCAAGAATCTAAACTTGTCGATTTCGGTCTTTGTTCTCGTACAGAAATTTACAAGGAGTGTATCCTTTGGACTTGCTCTCGCACGAGTTTACTTTCTCTCGACCCGATTGTCGCGCTAGTTCGCTACCGCGTTTTTTTTTTATGCGCAGTCGCTTCGTGGTTGGCCGATCCTATGCACGCCCGATCGGTTCCTTTATCGTCACGTCGGAGCGGCCAGTCCCGACCGTGGTGCAACGACCGGCTAAGTGATTCGACTAACGTTTTCTAAGTGGCGATTCAAAGGGAGGCGCTCGCCTTTCCTCCGCTGATTCCCTTTCTTCCTCTTCTTCTTCTTTGCCGTGTTCTTTCCTTTCCCTCTCGACGTCCTTGCTCCTTGGAATTTTCACGAGTCTCCTCTCTTCCCTCCGCAATCGTCGTCGCTGATCCCGCTTTGGTTTTATTTGCGTCACCACGTCGCCGATTCAGATGTAAATCACCACGGTGCCATCGTCGAAGAAGATCGTTATGCGAATCTGTTGCTTGACTCTGGAAGACATGTTGCCAACTGCGATGATCGTCAAATGTGGATAAAAGATAAATTTCAACGATGTCGCGCTATTTTATTCCTGGATTCCTTTTTTCAAGCTTGCAACATCTCATCACTTCTGTAAAATCGTACGTTAGATTATTCGCGATACGATGCGAGTTAATAAATCTTCCATTCACGATCTCAACAGGCGCTAAACCGTTCACCGAGGCGACGTGACGGGATCAAGGGTACGACATTCTGGCGTCAACGGCAGCGTTGATTCCCTCGTCAGCAGCATCGCCTTTCTCTCGGCTCTCGGATGCAATGATCGGATAATGACGATGATTAATCGCCTGCGTCGCCATGCCGATCGAACATTCGCGAGAATCTGACGGACGATTTGAGAGAGACAGCCGCGTTTTAATCCACCAATACCACCACCATCTGGTATATTCACTGTAGATTCTTCTATTCTATTCAATGACAATTTACAGTCTTGTCTTGGGTATCATTGTACTTCAAAAGGACACAAAATGTTACTATTTTAAATCTTGAGATCTGAGATATAAAATCATTCAGATTTATCAACTCGAACGCTATTTATGTAGATTCTTGCTTGTTATTACCAAGCTTGGTAACTGGCGATTTCTTGAGGTAATCGAGAACAGTATTATTCTATTTTAAATTCTGAAATTGGAGCACCGTGTGTGAAATAAAAGTCTCATGATATCCTCACAGCCTAATTTACTCGGATGTTATTGTTAACGTTTTGCTTGCATGATTGGATTTAGCAACTTCTTAAAATAGTCTATAGAAGTTCTATTCTCAAGATCTGTGTTTCCAGGTAAAATTTGTAGGTTGCGGCAGACGCAAATCGTAGTCGATCGATGTGAATCCGTGATTCGGTTAATATCTCGTAACAATTTTATTGCTGGCAATTTTTGCGTTGTAAGATATCCTCACGGAAGTGATCCAAGAAATTGCGCTCCTAACACACGCACAACGAACTGAGGTATAACTTCTTTGCACTTCTCTTGAGGCTAGTGGGAGCTTTTTGTCTCGTATGTCTATCTCACGAGCATCGCGACGCCCCAACTGGAAACCGGCCACTTCTACGCTTGGGTTTATATTTAAACAGCGGAGCGCCGCTGACGACGACGTCGATGTCGACGTCGACGCATCGTCTTTTCCGATGCGTCGACCGAGCGAGAAGAAAGTCGAGAAGAAAGAACGAGAGAAAAAAATATACACCGAGAGAAATACCAGACTGAAGGAAAAAAATGTTCGCTTTTGCGAAATGAATTTCTGAGACACGTGATATATTGGCGCAGGTAAAATATGCGGTGATGTTTAAAAGAAAAATATTATTCGAGAAGAAAAGCTTGGCGAATAGAATTCGTATATAAATATACAAAGTATGGCGCGCGCGATAAAATAGGTGAGACGGTTGCATAATAATTCAGAGGAAAATCGTACTTTATGCTTATCATCTTTGAATATTTTCGATATCTTTTCTCGTATATTTTGTTTTTTTATATCAATTTTAAAAATATGGTAACTATATATGTGTAATAAAGATGTTTGATTTTTTCTTTTTGTTATCGTTAATGTGGTTTGATTCTGTCACATTTCTTTCGCGACGTTTTAGCACAATATACAAAAATGCACGCTATGAAGCGTCGGAAAATCCATGCTAATAAAAGAACGTATAAATATCAACGCCATAAAATCGCGGACCTCCCACGCTGATGCGCATTTATCCGATACTTTAAACGGTCTACCCAGGAAAGTTCGCACGTGGTGAATGAACGTTTAACGATTTGGAACGCGAAGAAAGCGAGACAGTCTGTGACGAAATATGTATATATAATTTCGCTTATCATTGCAATTAATTGCTCAATTATTAGAATCAGAATTATTAATATAGGCAATAACTATTATATGCCATTTAATTTAAAGCATCTCGTTTCAATAATTCAACAAAGATCGGTATAATAATATTAACAATTAAACATTAATTGAAGTATACTTTATAAATAAAGAAAATTCATAGTCGCACATGTAGCTAATATATCATTCATTTTGAGGCACATTATATTTAAAATATTTTAGTTAATTAAGTATCTTTGTCGATGTTTCATCGTACAATATATGAACTATTACGTTTAATAATCAGTTTTGCAAACACAAAGCGCACACATTGAACGCAATCGAAATGCTTGCATATGAATTAATTAATCTTTACAGTCTGCACTGTCCGCGTAGAGATACGTTCGATTTCCATCGATAAATATTGCAGGGCAAACCGTTGTGCCTTTCTTTCGTTTCGTCACGCTCACATGCGTTCTCGTCGAGGAAAGGGAATCCCCGAAGGGGCATCTCGGATGCTCGACGTTCCAGCACGCCGTTTGAATCTTTGCGAGCTCCTCCTCTTTCTTTTCTTCCTTCTTTTCCGTCTGCCCACGCGCTCGAACTACCATCCATTCGCGAAAGAGATAAAAGGACAAATGGACGAAGGAGCAAAGAAGGAGATCTAGGCTGAACGAAGGAGCAAAAAAAGAGAGCCAAATACAAGATCGGAGAAGGAGAGAAAGCGTGATATATGGGAGAGAGAGATGGTCTGTGTGTGTTTGTTTGTGTGAGGGAGAACATCGCCGCGATATCAGGACGTAGAGTTTCGGGGTACGCCCAAGGGGTCATCACCCTTTCGTGGCAAACCCCTTCTCCTCGCTTGTGTGCATGCCATCCTTCTATTTCCTCCCTCTCTCGCCTTTCGTCCTCTCTTTCGCTGGACTGGTCCCCTCCATCTTCCTCATACTCTAACAGCGCACCCCCGTGTGACGTGCACTTTTACTCCCTGGCGCGTCTCCAGGGACGAAGAAATACGATTCGCCCCGCGAGAAAATGGCGTAATTATATACGAGAGCAAGAAGGAGAGGAAGGACGCGTAAATCACGGCGGCGAGGAAGCAACGGGGCGTGCAAGACTTCGGCGAGGGGTCTCGCATCCGCCGAAAACACGGTTCGAAAAAGAGTTCCGAGAACTTTTCTCTTTTCTTCTACGGAATCAGGAAAAGATGAAAACTTTAAGAAGGCTAAGGGCTCTCGCAACACTTGTACTATTTAGAAAAATTATTTTCCGCTTGCCTCGTTAGAACCATTACATATGCGTCTATAGAAACAGGAACTGATCTCTATTGAATTTTAAAACCAAGAATATACAAGTTTTTGAATCTTGTTAAGGAAGCTTTTTCCCTTCAGTCGTATCGTTCTTCTAATGACGCGAGAGCATTGCTGCAACTATATTTGTGGTTCAATATCCTCCTCATTATGATGGCGTCACTTCAGAAGGGAGCCGTTCGCGTGACTCGCTTCTTGATAACGTGACTGACAACCGATGGAGGTTCAAGCTCCGTGGATCATACAATGATGCGGGTACAATGAGCTCGGTACGATGTCACTGTCTTTTGTAAAAGATGCACAATACCGCATAGAAATTTTAAAATATGTAGAATTTTCAAAAACTATCGTTTATCAATTATTATTTAATAAAATAATGATGTAAAAAAAACTGATAAAATAAATATAATAGCAAATATACTAAAAAAGATAAATACATATATAATAATATGATATAAAAATATAGTCAAAGATAAAAGTAAACGATAACCAATTGTTTTGTATGTGCATTGCAAATAAAATTTTAGTTTAAAAAATTAATATTATTACGAAAAGAATATGCAAACCATATAAAAAAGAAGAAAGAGAGATGCGATAACTTCTCTATTGAAGTGAAATAGAGTTGATGTAATCATACGCAAGATTATTACTAGCATCCACTTCGAACTATGACATATTTTTCATTAAATTGGAACGAGAGAGGATCTCGAGATGCAAATCATAACGCAATCTCAGTATCCTTAACGTTGATGAGGCTCTTGCGAATAATTGCTTCTTCGGTCAGCGCGAAAGATGATAAAATTTCCTACAGGATACATAAATGGATTTTAATATTAATCTACGATCGTTAATGACGGGTTGCACATCATAAGATGTTCACGTAAAATTGCAAACCGCTCCACGTACTACTTTATTTGTTGTTGTAAATTTACATTTGTACTTACAGATTAGCCATTCGAACGTATAATTTTAAATCTTCGCAATGGAACAATCAATATGCACGAGCCTTAATAAATAAATGCTGCTATGTTCAAGAAAATTGATAATTGTAAAGCATCAGTAAAAATATGTTATTATTAAATTTGATTATTTTCAAAATCCTAGAAATTTATTTGCATATTTTGCATAATTTATGTATAAATGTATAAATATCATGTAAATACTTTATATAAATAAGATATACAACATTTATTTTGTTACAAATTATTTTTAAAAAATATTTTAAATTATACAGGAAAAGATACTTTTACAAAATATTTTGAAATTGAGAAATCTTTTACCTATATTCTATTTTTTTAATTTTTTTACCTATATTCTTTTTTTATATTTTTAAAATTGTTCCATTTATTTTACAAATGCTATTTGTAATTAACAATTTAATTAATGTATATGTCTCCAGTTTATTTTTTTCTTTGTCGAGAATATAAGAACTGTATATATGCATTGATCGTAATAAAACTTTTCCCGTTTCCGTGTTACTAGAAGACTAAAGACCGCCATAATTAAGGAGACGACAAAATCCCGTTGAAATTTCCTTCTTATTTTCAGCGCGGAAGCCCCGAGTTCCCGTATTCGACGTCGGAGACAACGGAAAAAAATTATGCGTCACGAGTGCCGGGGGACTCTCGCATCTCGTAATTAGCGAGCGGCGCATTCTCAATTATTCTAATGAGGGCAATGACGTCACGAGACTGCGCTCTGAGAATTCCGGAGTAAAATCACCTAGAAATATTATTGCGTCGCATCACGACTTTTTTGCTTTTTTCTCTTTCTCTCTCTTTTCTCTCCAGCTTTTCTTTTTTTCCAACGTCATTGCAAGAGAAGTCTTTAAATACTCGAGACCCCTTTTCACGCGGATTTTCCTTTGTTATGAGAGCGCAGTAAAAAAAAATAGCATTATATTGACGGTGCAATTGTGTTTTAGAGATTTCTGACACACACACGTCCACCCACGCGTGCGCGTGCGTGTCACGATATGTGCGTATCCGCGACTTCAAAAGTCGCCGCACGGCCGAATGCAACGTGCGGTAATAACGCGGTCATTATTCTTGATATGCAAAGTAGAAATAAACGTGGAATGCGGGTTATGAGATCAACGATGTCCGGCAACCATTTACGGGCGAAAATGATAAATTATGTATAATGTAGCTTATAGTTTAATGATATAATGGTCCCGCTTATCTCTTATGCATTTTTATTTTTTCGCACATTCATAACTCTTACAATTGTTATTATTATTTTAATCACATGAGCTTTAAAACTAAAATTTATTTATTTTAATCACATGAGCTTTAAAACTAAAATTTTAAAGCACAACACGAATAACACATTTCTGTACAATCAACTAAAACAAAAACATCTCATGAAAAATATATTTCTATATCGTTAATTGTTTTGGCTAAATATATCTTACTTTTGATCAATTTAATTAATATCCAAAATATTTAATAATTAGCGATATTTTAATGAATAATGATCTTTTTCTGGAAATTTAACACATTCGATGAAACAGAACTTTCTTTTAAATGTCTTCTTTTCCATAAAATTCGAATAGTATATATATTTAAGTATGTTTAATAAAATTTTTTGCATTAAAAGCTATGAAACTTTTTATATTTTTTAAGTAAATCCTTAAATCAAATTTGAATTTTACGAGATTTTATTATTATTATTAAACTTTATATTTCAGTTTTAACAAGATTACGAATAAAGTAAACAAAATAGAATAATTTTACGATATATTAAAATATTTATCGATTTCAATGTTAATTAACATATCATTTAAATAAGAGTCGCATTTTTATGAGAATTTAGCGCAGTTCGTCGTAAATATATGCAATCCCTCCATTATTTTGCTCTCATCAACTCGACGAGAGGGGTAGGACAAGACCGGAGGGAGAGCTAAACAAGCTCCCGTCGCC